AAGCACAATTTATTTACTTCCCTTTGCCAGTAATTCTCCCCAAAAAGGAATTACTGCAACTTATCAGGTAAAATAACATATACAATTAATCAGGGAATAGGAATAATCTTCCTAAACTCTAACAGATGATGGATGATTCCTGGCCTACATCTTGTCAAATTTACAAACTCTTATTTTAGAGTTTTGTAGTGTTGAAATCTAGACACGCCAACTGGTGCTCAGCTGCAAAACCCATCACCAGCCCCACTGCAGCAGAGCTCAGATACTGACGCACCTCACTTGCCGCTACAGGAAATGTCCAGGAACAGTTCTGCTTGAGAAGAGAGGGTGTTGACAACAGGACAGAGTCAAAAAGTGATAACATATTAGGAATATCCTTGGAAAATCCACATTATTTATTTATAAATGGAAGTAGAATTTTCCAAAAGTGCTTTTTCTTAAATGAAAACACAAAAGTTCTTTATATAGGGCAATTGATAAGTACAATGGCACACCTATATTACTGTGTCCCATGAATTTTATTTTTATAGGGTGTGGGGAAAAATATGAGAACAAAAGAGTATAGAGATTAAGAACCTGTCAAAGAGATCTGGGTTCCATTGGCCGTGCCATGTATGAGCTGTGTAACACGGTACCAAGCACACAGGCTGGTGGTGAAAGCCAAAGAAAGAAGGCATTTAGCAGGATGCTCAGCAAATGCCAGGCACACAGCAGGAGGTCAAAATGGTACTTATGATTGTCCACTGTTTATGGGTGGTGGGAGAGAACGATAGACAGGTAGATATGTCGGTAGGTGTGGTAATTTCAGGAACATGATTTCACATCTCTGGCCTGTAGAGGCCCAGCGTCCAGCTCACTGTATGGAGGCCACTGCAGTACCACTGCGTGCATTGTAAGAGTTAATACTGACCTTCCGCAGGTCTGAAACATCTGCCTTTAGTCATTTCTTATTTGGGGGAAAGAATGTGTATTTTTTACTTAAGTTTTTCTGACCAGGGAGATGGATGACAGTGTTCATAGTGGAGTGTCATTTTTATATAGTTACGTTATCTCAGTTAATCCACTCAGTAACTGTAGGAAGGAAATGGAGTAGAACCATTTTCAAATGAAACAAGATCAGAGGGCAAATGACTTGCCCTTAGGCACAGGAGGTCCTTCCACTGCCCATTTGCCTTTACGGTTTGTGGTGAAGGTGAAGCCACCCGACATCCTTTCTGTCCCATATGCAAGGACCCCTGAGCTGCATGTGGCCCGCAGCTTCACAAGATGGGCCTTACTTAGCACTTCTCAATATGCCAAGATATTGATGTCGTACTGGCCAAAAGGCAATGCTCATTTCCTTAGTAACGTTAAGAAAAATGTCAATGATAAAATGACTTTTAGAAAAATTTTAATAATAGTTCAATAAATAAGGAAATCTAAGTTATTTTTCATGGAATTCAATAAGGGTGTTTTTATTTTGATTAGAAAATAACATAGCCTAAAAACATTTTTACTTTAATTTTCTTAAGTTGCCCTGAATAAAAACCTTGCTCAACCTAGTCAATTCTAATAGACCTCCTAATAGACCTAGTAAGCAGAGATAAAAGAACACAGACTTGCTATAAAACTGACTTGGTTTCCAATATATGTACCAACATTTGTCATTTTTGTGACCTTGGTCAAGTTACTTAAGCCTTCACAAGCCTGGTTTCCTCATCCACAAGCCTTGTATCACAATAAATTACAGCAGAGTAATTGTGAGAATTAAATGAAATAAGGTGTGTAAAAGTGACCAACAGTAGCTATAATTTTTTTGAGTTGTTAATTCACACCAAATGGTCTGCTGTGCCCTTCAAACATGCTATCTCTTTAATTCTTATTTGCTATGGATGGTGTTATTCCCATTTCACAGATATTAAGGCTGAGGAATTAATTAATTTGCCAGAGTCAGAAAGCTGTAAGCATCAGAACTTGACTTTCAAACTTAAGTTCATCCAACTCAAAAGCTCTTGTCCTTAACTTCCTCCAGCCCCCACATTGCTTCTAAAATGTTAAACACAGGCTATGCCACATGCCAGGTAGTCTACAAATGAAAGCTTATCTTCTTCATACCCTTCCAATAGCACCTCGATTCTTTTCAGACTCTGCATCACTGCTAGGTACTGATCACTGCCTGCCACACTCTATTTCACTGAGTATTTCTTAAGTTTTACCTCTTGATGAAAAAATATCCCAAGTGTCTGAGAGAAGATAATTTGAATTATTACAACTTAAAGAGAACTCATACAATGGCCTATACAGTACCTCACTAATTGTCTTTATTCCTCTTAGGAAATATTACTCTTCTATTGTACTCCCGATAGATTAATTGCCTAGGCCATCTAACGTGCTACAGCAGAAAGAACATGGGCTTTGGAGTCAGAGTCCAGAGCCCCAGGACTCATACCTGCCACTGACTAGTTGTGTGCCTGTGCACACATTTTATTACCTCTTTGAGTATGTTTCCTCATCCATAGGGTGGGGAGAACAACCTACCCCTTAATATTGTGTGATGCTTACTGCACAGCACATCATAGCATTGAATAAAGGTTAGTTTCCTTCTTCCCCTCACTTTGTCCCACCCTTTCCGTATTCTCTGCTGTCTTAACCTTCTGGGAGCATGGAGAAAGTCTCTATTTGTATTTGAACAAAGCTTTTTAGACAATACTTTGAAATAATGAAAACTATATGTTGAAACAAGTACTGCACGTCCAGGCACTCATCCAGGGAGTCGACGTTTATTTCAACGACGCACCAATGCTGGGAGAAGTCTGAAAACTTAGCTTTTGGAATTGTTCTTAGAGCCAGTTTATGAGTCAACTGAGAAAAGCAGCTTCATTACTCTATGGCATTTTTGACAAAATGAAAACAAATATATGTAGTGACATTTTTACCATGGTCCTAATCCATTGCCTTGGTTCCAAATGATCTTATTATTTCTAAAGATCAAAATTACCACAAAAGGATGAACATTGGAAGTCAGGAAATATCCTGACGGTCTAAAGATATTTCCAAAAGGTGAGTACCAACACTTATTTTTCACAATGGGAACATCATGTATATTTAGGTATAGTCCCATATGGTGACTATTTTGAAGGGATGTTTATTTGGGTTCATGTACTCAAATTAGACTATTTATTTTAAACACTTATATAATATAAATTTAGCTGCACAAAAATATTACAATCAGTTCAACAGAATTTACTGTGTACTTTTGATAAGCTGATACTATTTCAGAAGAAATCCTTTAGATTATTGCCTGGAAACTTTTTAGATTGCATACTCCATCAGTAATAGAATTTTCAGTGTGCACTCCAAATTTCTGTATAGTAATTTACTTATAAATTATAATCATGTGCATTTATGCTATCGACCAAATGTCTGTGCTCGCTCAAAATTCCTATACTGAAATCCTAACCCCAGTGTGATGGCATTAGGAGGTGGGGCCTTTGGGAGGTGATTATTAATAATAGGTCATGAGGGTGGAGCCGTCATGAATGGGCTTAGTCCCCCTATAAAAAGATACAAGAGCCTGCTTTCTCTTTCTCTCCGCTTTCCACGATGGGAGGACACAGCAAGAAGACCACCATCTGTAAACTGGGAAGCAGGCCCTCACCAGAACTGAATCTGCTGACATGTTGGCCTTGGCCTTTTCAGCCTCCAGAATTATGAGAAATAAATGTTTGTGGTTTAAGCCGCCCAGTCTATGGTAATTTGTTATAGCAGCAGAGCTAACTAAAACAATGTATTTATATAAAGTATATGCATTATGAAACAGATAATAAAAATTAATAAGTATGAGATACACATGTGTATTTGTATATGTGTATTCATTCTAATATTTTCTTTCCTTATCCCAATGGAGGGTCTTATATGTCTGGTGGATATGTATGCATCCTGCTTTGGAGAAGACTTTTTAGATGATAATTGTGATGAAGGGGCTAAGATTCTTTTTTGTAAATGGTTGTTAAACAACACTGTTAACCTTTCATATCTGTTTAGCAACATCCATTACCAATACCGAAAAACAAATGACAATGCACATTCACCCAAAGTGCAATTTAGGAAGATACACTCGAATGCCATTCATCATTACCTGTCTAGAAAACAAGGCTTAACATTGTCGCTAAAAACTGCACGCTGAGCTGACCTAAGACTATCAAATAATGGGATAATAAATAAATAAATAAATAAAGACATAACAAGACATTTTTGTAAATGTATATACAAAGGAACCAAAGTTGGAGACGACTTTGACACAGTAACTGCAGGCAGGCCAACCTGTTCTGAATCGGTAGTTAAGGCCTAAACAATTGTGTTTCCAGCCGAAAAGCCTGTTGCAGTTGCATTGGTCTTGGGGAGACGCACTCGTGATGGTGTACAACAACACTGTTCTAAGAAGCTTACTGTAAAAACAATAGCAAGAGAAAAAGGCAGGGGAATAATGCGCCCATCTGTCACTCACTTTGTGTATGGGGGGGGTGTTGTCCCAGTTGCTGTTCGTATGTTTACTAAAGTTACAGAAAAACTTTCATTCACAAATCCAAAGAATCTGTCTAACAAAAGATTACTTGCTTATTTCAAATGGCATTCTATAGCAACAGTTGATGCAACAAATTAGTTCAAACAATTTCTTAAATTTCCTAAATGGGATAATATATGATTTTATAATGTTTTAAAGTCCACTTCAATTTACAAAAAAAAATTTTTAAATTATTGTGTGAGAGTAAGAAGTTTGGTCTTGATGTAGAAAACTCAGTCGTTTTGAAGAAACAAAAGAGAACTCAATTTCTAATTAGCTTAGTAAAATTTGCCAATTCATATTAAAGAACAATAAGCCACTGGAAATAAATAATTAAGAGAAAAATCTGATAGACTGCAATAAAAACACTTAAAAAGCATTTTTAAATGGCCCTTGATTTTTGAACAAAATAAAATTCTAACAAGATTTCTTAAAGTAAAATTTCTTGATTTCTTACCTTGCCATACTTCTGTGCATAAGATCCTGTGAGCAGTGAGTGAAAAACAATAATGGTTTCATCCAAATCCCAGACAAACACACGCTGAAGACAAAAAAATAAATATCAAAAAATTATAAAGTTTAAGGAAAAAGAAATCTCTTTACCAGTAGAAAACATTTCCCTGCATTGTTGGATATCATCTTGATACCATTTTATAGAAAATAATCCTGTTACTTCATTAATTGTCTTTCAAATTTGCTGAATCTAACTCCTGTAAAATCTGAGGAACAAGAGTGATAGAAATAATAACAAGCTTAAAAGTCAGAAGTCCTAACTTGAATATATTTATGCAAACATTTACTTGTAGTTAATACCAAAAAAAGACACATTTGGTCTTTATGACAGAAATGTGCTTGAAACTCTATGTATTTTAGTTTTCCATTTCGTGGATCCATAAAATTTTGCAATTTATGTGAAGAAGTAAATTTTTAAAAAATATTTAAAAGTATCAATAGATAACCCCTGAACAGAAATTGCAAAATGCGGAGCTTTGGGTCAGATTAGGCCAGCAAATCTGTTGTTTGATCTGCACGGAGTTTTGAAAAATTTCATATTATTTAGCATTGTTTCAAAATTAGGCGATTTTACACAAACTTCAGGATTCTGACCATGGCAGAGAAGTTGTGGCCAGGTTGGCTGACATTCCCACAGGGCAGTGAGGGGTAAATCTCTCAGAAGGGGCCATCGTCCTAGTTTGCTGGGCTCCCCCAGTTTGCTGGACTCCCCAGCCGGGTCACTCAACTATATCACCTGCCAGGTTCTAGAAGAGATTCAAACTTGCTGTTGTTCAAGTAAAGGGAGTTCTCTCTTATGAAGAAGCACACATGGCTGATGCTTGATTTTACTAAGTCTGGTGATTTAGTTTTTTCCTTAGTTGAAGTATTTGGTTATTATGTAAGCAGTAATATATTATGGTATGATTAAGAATAGTTTCTCCTGATGTTTTATAATAAAAATCAACTTGCTTATTAGTACAACTGTATCTCAAAAGAGCTCACAAGCAGAAAAACGACATATACTGAAATTTTCACAAATATAAAAATTTTAATAAATGATTGAAATTTTTCCTATTTTCAGAAGATGACTTTGTCTCTCCATACAGATTACTTTTATCTTTTTAAATTTAATGACCCATATAGATGTCTTTCATTATGGTAGTACTATCAAATATTGTGTTTTTCAGAAAATTATACTACAAATGATGGCTTCATTCTAAAAATTTGTTTGTGCAAATTTGGATCAAAAGATGCAGTTATCTCAGACCTAGAATTTTCAAAGCAGTACTACTTTTAAGTTGTCATTGTTTTTAATTTTGCCATTATAATGGATAAAATCTCAAACTTCAGAGCTGCAAAATGCCTATGACAAAGTATGTCCACTCAATTCATTATACGTCTTTTTTTTAAGCTTGAAACTTAATGGGGCTGCAAGGTATATAATATATCATTCAATAAAATAAAGCATCATATTACACTCTTTAGGAATAAGTAGGCATACCTCCAAGTCACTGTCAGGAGGAGGGGAGGGATTATTTTTCCGGCCTCTTCCTCTGGACTTTGACCCAGAACTCCTACATGTTCTCTCATCAAGATCTTTGATGGGTGTGGAGGGGCTCTGCACGGTATCAAACTCTCCTGTAAATAACAACTCGTGTCAAGAACAGTGCTTCATTTTTAGATCAAGTATGAGTCTTCATTATTAATTATCTTAACACATTCCTATACAATAGAAACCTCCTTATGAAAAAGAAAGATTTATAATCCCAAACACACAAAAATCCCTCCTAGTTTTAATCTATATGATCTATTAAACCTGAACGTCTTTATACTCCCTATGCCCTCAAATTCCTCTTTGTACTCTTACCTATATATTTATCTCCATTTAGATCTATCTTCACCTCTATTTTTGGGTCACAGTTTGGAGAATGAGATGTGTTCTGGATCAGACCCACCCCTGCACTTGTAAGCTTGACTCCTCAATCCCATCTATTAGGGGATCATGGTCCATGAGTTAAACCCTCTTGCATCTTTGCTTCAACCTGTCCCATTTCTGGGATCTCCTGACCTGACAAATTTAAAAGTTCTTCCCTTGGCCTTGCATTTCCCATCGAGATATTATGTGCTTGCTATCTTCTCTTTTAAATAAAACTCCTTAAAACAATAGTACATACCAGTGCTGTCCAACACAAATATAATGTGAGCCACAAATGTGACCACATATATAATTTTAAACTTTTTAGCAGCCACATTAAAAAAAAGATATGTAAAATTAAACTTATTCATATATGTTAATTTATCATTTCAGCATATAATCAACATAACTGTTGTCAATGATAGGTTTTACATTCTCTTTCATACTAAGTCTTTGAAATCTTGTGCATCTTCTATACTCACAGCAGACCTCAATCTGCAGTACCACATTACAAGTTTTCAATAGCCACATGTGGCCAGTGGCTACAGTACTGGACAGCCCATTTGTCTCCACTTTTTGACACGTGATTTATCAAAATCTAGCTTCAGTTCACAAAGGCGCTAGTAAAAATATTCTTGCTAAGAGTCCCCAATAACTACCTCACTGATAAATGCAATGGCAATAGACAGGCTCAGTTCTTCTTCCTGGATCTCTGTGCTGTGTTTAATCCTCTTAAACATCACCCCCTTTGAACCATGATTTGGCTGCTGATGGTCTTTCACTCTCCTAGTTCTAGAATCTCTCTCACCTTCTCTGTCCTTCTCTGTCTGCGAGACATCAACTATTGTCCTTCTCTTATTCCTTATAAACTGGTATTTAAGAGTTCTATCCTTTGATCACTGTACTTCTCACTCCCCACACCCTTGGTGATTTAAAACTCTCATACATTAATGACCTTACATATGATGACCCAGACATAAATCTATACCTCCAACCAAGACACATCCTAAGTTTCAGACCTTTTATCTAATTGACTTCTGCATGTCCCACAGATACCTAAAATTCTGACGCGTCTAAAGCCAGTGACAATGTATCTCAGAAGGCAGAAAGTACTGAGCGGTGGCAAACCTATGAGGGGGGTGGTTAGGATAAACTGAGGCAACTGTGAGGAACAATATAACAAGTCAGAGAGTCAGAATTACTGTGTGACTTCAAGCATTTTACTCAATCTCTCTGAATCTCAGTTTCATTGTATAATAATGGGTAATAATAGCTACCTTTTTGGATTACTGAGGGATAAATATAATTTATAATAATTTGATTTCAAGCATATGTATAAAGTAAAAATCTCTAGGAGAGCCAGATGGCCAACTATATTAAATTTTAATTACATAATTTTTTAATGTAATGATGTCATGACTATCATGCTTTATCATGAAATTAAAATAAAATAATTCTGAGGAGAGTCAAGTAGTTATTAATCTAAATAAACAAATATGAATAAACTTAGGCAATGTTTTTTTCTGAGAAACAGTAATTTTTACATCGCTAATCTCTAAACGTTTCTATTGGTTTTAACATTTCCTTTGGGAAACACTGTACATGTTAGGGCAGAATCAAAAATATGTCTGTGCTCCAAATACTATTTGCTCTAAGAATATTGCCAGCACAGTTCAACGCATGGGTCTCTGTTATTGCCTGGGTGAGAGTAACAGCATAATAGGAAAGGTTTTAGTTATGGGGTTGAATATAGCACTGTCTTACGGTAAATGGAGTTTCAGCTTACTTACATAGGTATTAAATGAGACTTTAGGTATGTGAATACACACCAACTTTTAAATAAAAGCACTCAAAAATTTTTCCATTTTTAATTCTTTTGTGAAACAAAATTATCCTAATTCTATAGCCCACAAATTAAAATAAAATGGTGACTCAAATTAGCCCTCATTTATTACACAAGCTTTTAAAAATTTTTTGGATAATCCATAAAACCTTTTTTTATATTCATAATCGATCAATTTTCAGGTGTTAACTATCATCAGACAGCTTCCTTCCTGCCACAGTGCAAGAACTGAAGGGACAAAAACTTGCAAAATCCCAGTCATTGTGATCAGTCATGGGTGGTTGATTGTAGATTAGATCCATAAAGAAGGCATTTAGCAGGAACCACTCAACTCTGCTATCCCACAGCTGTCACAGTGAGGGGGTGAAAAGAGCAGAAGAGGCCAGGGAAAGACTGTGGCCATAGGAAGTGTCTGGGTTTCAGTAAACATAAGACTTTATTCCTTCCCATTGATTCTTTTCAAGTTACTGAAGGATCCAAAAGAGCTCTAAGAATTTGGACAAAACATGGGCAGAGGCATTTTCTCGGGGGATAAATGCATAGCTTTTTAGGAAAACTATGAAGAGTAGGTCCACATTTATTAAATTTCTAGTGTGTGTATATATATTCTTTTATCTCTCTCTCTCTCTCTCTCTCCCTCTCTCTCTCTCTCTGTCTCTCTCTCTCTCTCTATATATATATATATGAGAAGTGTTATACACTGTCCTTTAAAAAATTTTTACTGAAACTTGTGTTTGGCTTCATTCACTGCTCATTATGTCTGTGAGATCATCCACATTATAGCCTGGAGCAGTTGTTTGTTCTTTCCTTAATGTGGCTAGAATTTCATCATGTATGTATGTTATACTTTATCCATTTCATTGATGGACATTTGGGTTATTCACAATTTTAGGCTATTATAAGTAAAGCTGCTATATACATTCTTGTACATGTCTTTGTGGACATAAGCTCTCATTCTTCTTGGGACTCTATACCTAGCAATGGTATTGCTGGGTCAGAGGGAAGGCATATGTTTATCTTTAATAGACACTGACTTTTCCCCAAAGTGGTTTTATCAATTTACTCTCTTACCAGCAATGAGAGTTCTAGTTGCTCCACATCCCTACTAATAATACTTGGTATTATTAGTCTTTTTAATTTGAGCCATTGTGGGTGTACATGCATAGTGGTTTCTTATTGTAGTTTTAATTTGCATTTTCTTGATGAATAATTACAGAGAACACATTTTCATATGTTTCTTGCCCATTTGATATCATTTTTTATGAGGTAACTGTTAAATCTTTTGCTCATTTAAAATATTGAGTTGTTTGTCTTTTTCTTATTGATTTGTTGGAGCTCTTTATTATGAAACTATATATATGTATATATGACTTAAACCTCACTCCACTCCAACCCAGTGAATTAGGCCCTTCATTATCATCTTCTAATAATGGAGGACATGGAGACATATAGGACTTAATTAATTTACCAAAATTAAATAGTTGGTAAGTGGCAACATTGCTATGATTCCGGAACTTCTACTTTCACCATTTGGCTATAATACCTCATGCAAACAGCAACTGACTCTCCAGGTTACAAAAAGGTCAAACCTAGATCTGCTTTTACTCATCAAGAATCATATAACAACCTACCAGAATGGGAGAAAATATTTGCAAACCATACACATGATAAGGGGTTAATATCCAAAATATATAAGAAACTCAAACAACTCAATGATATAAAACAAATGATCCAGTTAAAAAATGGATAAAGAATCTATAAAGACATTTCTCAAAAAAAGACATATAAATGATCAAAAGATATATGAAAAAATGCTCAACATCACTAATCATCAAAGAAATGTAAATTAGAACAACCACAATAAGATATCATCTCATGCCTGTTGAAATGGCTATTACCAAGAAGAAAGACAACAAGTGTAGGAGAGGATGTGGGGAAAAGGAACCCTGCACACTGTTGGTGGGAGTGTAATGTAAATTAGTACAGCCATCAAGCAAAACAGTACAGAGGTTTCAAAAAATTAGAAATATAACTAGCATACGATCTGGCAAAACCACTACCAGGTACATATTGAAAGGAAATGAAATCAGTATGTCAAAGAGATATCTGTACTTCCATGTTAAGTACAGCCTTATTCACAATAACCAACATAAGGAATCAACCTAAGTGTCCATCGCTGGATGAATAGTTAAAGAAAATGTGGCATATGTACACAATGGAATACCATTCAGCCTTGAAAAAGAAGAAAATTCTGTCGCTTGGGACAACATAGATGAACCTGGACAACATTATGTTAAGTGAAATAAGCCAGGCACAGAAAGACAAATACTGCGTGATATGTACAGTGCAAAAAAAAAAAATTGAATTTATAGTAGTAGAGAGTAGGATGATGGTTACCAGGGACTGTGGGGATGTGGGGGGTGGAGATTAGGGAGCTGTTGGTTAAAGGACACAAAATTTCAGTTACATAGGAGGAATAAATTTACAACTTGGTGACTACAGTTAATAACAACGTATTGTAGTCTTGAAAATTACTAGGAGAATATATTTTTCTCACCACAAAAATAAGTATGTGAGGTAATACATATGTTAATTAGTTCAATTTAGCCATTTCACAATGTTTCAAAATGAAGTGTTATACACAATATATGATTTTTTTTTAAAGACACAGAGTCTCACTATGTTGCCCAGACTGGACTCAAACTCCTGGGTTCAAGCTATCCTCCTGCCTCAGTCTCTTGAGTAGCTGGGACTACAGGTGCCTCCCATCATGCCTGTATGTACACGATTTTCATTTGACAATTAAAAAATAAATTTAAAAAAGAGTTATATGGGGATTATATGATTTCTGTGCGAGGGAGGGCCAAGGAATTTGTTGAAAGAACTTCATAGAAGTAAAAGAGGACAACCTGTAGAGGGCATGTGATATATCTGGGCTCCTACCACCATCACCCAGGTGGAATTATACTGACCTCTATTCCTTCTGAAGGCTCTGTCCTTTCTTCTGATAAAGGGTAAAACAAGGAACTTGAGCTCAACTGGTCATTAAACATTTGTTGACACTTTTTTTTTTTAAAGGAGAAAGCTGTTAATTCCACTGCCTCTGCCAAATTTCACTCAGGTAATTGCACAAGGGCACAGTAAGGCTGCAGGTGGGGAAAACGTAAACTGGTACAATAGTGGTCCAGTTCAGTGTGGTCCATCCTTTCAATCTACATCCTCTTGTTAGTTTCAATTAGATGAGTTAGCTTCCTGGCATGTGAAAAACCATGAAGTTATGAAAAGGCTGCTGTGTTCTGCCTTTGCAAGTGGCTTCTTTTCAGAGAGTGAAGTGATCTCACTACATCCTTTACATTTCTGGAGCACTTGTTAAGTTCAATTAGCTACTGTACTGTAATGTTCATTAAGGTCCCAGGATAAACCATAACACTGTTATAGATTACTGACTACATTTAATTTTAAAGATGTTTAAAATATTTGAAAAGGAGAAGCTATATCTCTCATCTTCATGTGCTCATCAGTCCTCAAACTTTCTGAGTACAAATCAAAAATATAATATACCTAATATAAACTTTATATTAAAGACAAAGAAAAATCTTTATAAAGATAATGAACTAAAATGTCTGTTCTTAATCAGCATAGTGATGTTTCTTTAAATCCACTGTCGAACTACCTAATAAAGTAAAGTAAAATAACTGAATGCTATTTGCAATGTCCAAATAATATCAGTCATCACTGAATGCCCTAGGCTTTTCTTAACCCAGCATTACGCATGATTAAATAATTATCCTTTAATCAGTATAGCAATGAATAACTGCACCTTGTAAGTTTTGGATATTTAGATCTGACTTTATTTCATTAGGCTTATCTCTAAATCAGAACAGCCAGCTGGCTCTTATTGAGCATAAGTTATGTTTTTATTATAAAAATGGAAATCAACAGTAAATGTTCTATGAGAAATTGTGGATTTGACTCTTAGGTTTCTGCTTTAAGTCCAAAATGCAGAACTGGTCAATGGGAAATACTTTTCCTACCCTTAAACTAAATACATCAGATTCCATCAATAATAAATAAAAATCCCATAGTTATAAACGTGTTTGTTTTTTGGATGCATGCCAGATCTGAAAAGGCAAAATTAAACTTGAAACTACCTTGACTGAATTCTGAGGTCACAGAATTCTTTAAAGATCCAGGCAGGTGTGTCGTTACGATTTTGGCAGAAAAATAGTTACATGTAGAAATAATTTCTTCTTTAAATTCAACAAAAAGTCTAATAAAATCTGAAAATTATGTCAAACTATATTTGTTGGCATCAGCACCCCATGGAAGCCTGAAGAAATAGCAGCATTCTGATAGTGAATATGCAAACGCCACATGTGACTATGTCACATTCAAAGTCACACATTCAGACTATCTACCTGCCTGCATTTAGGATTTTTAATACAAATAAAATAGCTAGTCTCAATACTGATTATTTTTTAGCTAATGGAAAGTAACCATTGGTGTCTTTCCTGCAGAAAAACTGTGTTGGGATCACATGGAAACTAAAGCAAAAGCAACCTTTTACTCAAAGCTCTACCCAGAACATACCATATTTGAGCATGCAAATGGTTTTCATTCATGGCAGCTGTAGTCTAGTAAATTCAAAAACACTCTGCTGTTCCTGTCTCTCATTCAGTCTCTAACACCTTGATGATCAGACATTTCTACTGGGTTGTTTTTGAACAGACTCACCCCACCTTGTATTCCTCCAAGCTTTCACTATTGAGAAAAACCTTCCACGGTGTGATAAGAGTTTGTCAATAATCTCCTTACCTAAAGTATCTCCACTCCTTGTAAAGCAAGGATTCTGAAATCATTGATTCTTTGAATTAAGGTGAGATCCTTAATGAAACTCAAGTATTGACTCAAAGAGGATCAGGACAGATTTGGGACATGTGATTTAGGCTGGGACTGATGAGTAAGGGACCCAGGCCCTAGGGCACAACATTTAAGGCGATGAGAATGAGTTTCTCCCTAAATTTTGTGCTCTCAGTGCTTCACTGGCCTTACCTAGTCCTGGCCCTGCAAGAGATACAGGTGCTCAGGGAGGCTGACACAGTTGAAAAATCTAAATAAGAAGCTCTAGCAGGACAAGGACCAGAAATTGAAAGGGGCTGTGTGCTCACAGATATGAGGATCTAAAGGAAGATACGGGGAAAGAAACTGAAAAGTAAGGCACCAAAGAAACTCTATCTTCTAGACTATTTTTCCTTGGTTCCATAGCTAGAGATGATATTCAGAACAGGGAACCAAAAATAAGGAATGTTACCATTTCATCCATGGAATGTTACCATCCATGAGATAAGCATATTTTGGCTGCTGCTTAAAATATCGGTTTCACTGTTTCTTCTTTATGTTCAAATTAGTTCACTTGTTAATATTCTCCATATTATCTACCATTTTCCCTTTCTCAATATTCATCATTATTGTAATTATCTGCTTGATCTTTGACTTGCTTGTTAAATGGAAGCTAAAGGAGTACAGAGAGCTCATTCACTGCTGGAATATGCGTTTCTAGCAGCGTGCAGATACCTAATAGGCACGTGATAAATAATCGTTTCCTGGCATTGAATCATCTTGGCCCCACTGGTCCAGTTGGAAACAATTTACAGCTCTGTGACCATGTTTCCCTATTTTCTTTCCCTTCCAAAGCTGGATAAAAAAGAAGCAGAGAGGAATTTGGATCTTGCAAATAACTGAAGGTAGAAAAATATACTTGAACACATTAATATTTACAAAAATTCTTAACCTCATTTTTTTCATCCTTTTTATTTTTCAGAGACAGAGTCCTGCTCTGTTGCCCAGGCTGGAGTACAGTGGTGCAATCATAGCTCAGTGTACCCTCAAATTCCCAGGCTGAAGCAATCCTTTCACTTCAGCCTTTCAAGTAGCTGGGAGTAGGGGCGCACGCCACTATGCCTGGCTATTAACCTCACTTTTTGTAGTGATTTTCAGAGTTCCCTATATATTCTGGATACAAGTTATTTATCAGATATGTGTCTTGTAAATATTTCTCCTAATCCGTGGCTTGTCTTTTTATTCTTGTAACAGTGTCTTTTGAAGAGTAGAAGTTCTTAATTTTATGAAATCTGATTTGTCTTTTCTTTTCTAGATTGTTTTTATTGTCCTAGCTATAAAATCTCTATGCAGCGTGGGATAACAAAGATTTCCTCCATGTTTTCTTCTAGAAGTTTTACAGTTTTAGTTTTTACATGTAGGTTTATAATTCATTTTGAGTTAATTTCTGCATATGAGTTATGAGTTGAAATTCTATTCTCTTTTGCATATGGACATCCAATTGTTCCAGCACCTTTTGTTGAAAATACTATTCATTCTCCATTCAACTGCCTTTGCACCTTGGTCAAAAATCAGTTTTCCAGTGTATGTATGAGTCTATTTCTGGACTCTCCATTCTGTTTCATTACTTTATGTATCTATCCTTTTGCCAATACTGTACTTTCTTGATTACTGTACTTTATAAATCTTGAAATAAGGCAATGTGAGTCTCCAAACTTTGTTCTTATTTTTCAAAATTGTTTTGACTATTCTAATTCCTTGTAGTTTTAGAACCATCTCAATATTTTCTACAAAAAGTTTTGGAATTTTGATTGGGATTATGCTGAATTTCTATTAAACTTGCTTTTAACTTTAAATGCTTTAGCTGTGTCAAATATGTTCAGCAAATACAATCCCAACAAGAATATAGCAAGCTTCAGATAAGTGAAATATGCAGTGGAGTTTAAATAGGCTCTGATCGGACAAAGATACTAAACTGCCTACCACTGATCCTGCCTACGCTGATCCTAGGAATGTAGGAAATGTTCAGTGGCTAGAGCTACTGACGACTCACAGAGATGAAGGAATTACACAGTCTCTTCAGCAGAAAGGAACCATTACCAGTTATACTCAAATATAAAAATTTTTCTTTGTTGTCAAAAATTTGTCTGGCCAAAGGTCCATTCACCTTTTATTTCCATATTCATACATATACTGTCATTTTGAGATTAAAATCTCCTATCCATCCCACATCTAAAGGCAGGGTTTTCTGAAATGCCAGAAAAGCCTCATCTCATACAGTGAAGCTAACACAGATTAAACATCAGCACGATGGGCGCTTTCTGCCACGTCTTTGAAGTTTCCATTTTCTCCATATTATTAGATACTGCAAAACACATAAAAGTATTTCACCTGGGTGAAGATCTGTACCTGGTTGGTTAGTCAGTCCTGGGAGAGACTCCTGCAACTGATAGGTTGAGGCGGAAGATGGTGTGCCATCGGCTGTGTTATTCGATGTCATATATGCGCCATACGTTGATGCTGAGTAGTACTGTGCATACTGGTTTTGGCCAAAGGCTGTATAGGATGGATAGTCCTGAAACAATAATGGAGATGTGTGTGTGTTTAAAAGAGAAAGTAACCAATCACTATGGTAAGTGAAAGAATAATATTCGGCGCATTGATTCCTGAGTACACAGCTTTGAGGTGATCCAAATGAATGCAGACAACTAGGTAGGCATTTTTCACACACACACGGTAAAGAACTACCCTACTGGTTTTGCAACCGGGGTCCAGTGCACAAATATTCATCTGCCTAAAGGTCGTATACACTTCACTTTCTTCCTGATAATTACTCACCCAAGGATTTACATCATCAGGACCTATATGCTTAAAGAGCAGAGAAGGGGATGGAATCAGTCCTTATTCACAAAGTCATTTTTCTACATCTCCTAACATCACTAGCAAGGAGTCGTGGTTGCCCCTCCCACCCTGCACCTAGACCTCAGTCTGCATTTTTGTGATTTTTTTGTTTTCCTTCTAGGCTACCCTTGATAACTGTTTTTTTTTTTT